CACACACACACACACAACTCTCTCCTGTCTTACCTGAGGGACGAGGAAAGCCAAGAGGATGCGGACTCCAATGTCCATGGTCGGTTCAATTTCTCTCGGTGTGAAACAGAAACGGATTCAAGACAGGGTGATAGAGGCTGGGTCAGCTCTGCTCATAATTCCACTGTCCAAGCGCCGGAGAGAGAGGAAAGCCTTACGCCGTGAGCCGCCAGCTGCCAACTTCCCCCAAATACAACTGCAGTCTGATCAGCAAAGCACTGGATAGTGGAGCCGAGACCACAACCAATAGATTTATGAGGAGGACAGAGAGTGGGGAGGGAGGAGGTGAGATAGAGGGAGTGGTGATGGGGTGAGGAGGGGGGCTCGGTCTTTATCTAAGTGGAGGGTCAGCGTCGCTAATATTTTCTGTGGCCAAATTTAGACACCCAATTATTTTAGGGAGTTTGAATGATCTCCGGGCGCAGCGGCGGCAGGTTTCGAGGATCCATCAACATCACACCTATCATGAGCCGGGTTTTTTTTTTTTTTTTTTCCCTCGTCAGACAGGTTTATAGCCCTTATACCAGCATCCATAATCCATCCCCCCTTTTAAATGTGATTTACGGTCTCTATCATCTTATATTCAATGCAAGAGTGAGAGCGCTCGGGAAGCCTCCATTAATGCACCCTGTGTGTGAACGCACACATAGCGGCGGTGCCTGCGGGGCACCCCGAGAGAAAGAAACTTCAGTATTGATAGCTACATTTGAGGATTGTGTAATATTACAATAAAACTACTGTATAAACCGCCCACACAATGGCTCCAAAAGAGTAAGGCTGTTAACAAGACTATAGGTGACAATCTTCTGAATAATTCCTGACTTTAATATTCTGAAACCATCATAGCCAGCTTTCATTTTTCATTATGAGCTCCGTGTTTCTTGCTCCTAGCTCTATAATGAATTCTTAATTTGTGTGGGGAATTTTATTTGGTTGTTTGTCAGAAGGAGCGTTTCTCAGTCGGTGTGCGCACCTCAGCCTAAGGGCATCTCTCTCTCTGTCTCTCTGTCTCTCTCTCTGGATTAAGTCAAACTTGCTCTACATCCTACATGCAAGATTTATGGTCTTACATAAAATAAGATGTACTGAAATGACAATGCAACTAGTTATTATTTTTAGTGTCAATTAGTCTTCCAATGATATTCTCTATTCATATTTTGGTCTGTAAAATGTCACATATTTTATAAAAGTCTATAAAATGCTGTGTTTTGAAAACCAGTGAATTTGGGGATTTTGTTTTTCTGCTTTAAAAAGTTCCTAAGTTGCTTAATTACCAGAATTGCTCCAATTTTTCTTTTTCCATCAAATAATTTGACTAATCAGCCAAAGTGCATCCGAAATTTGGTGCACTGGGTGACATGTTTCTAAATTATGGTGAATTTGGTCAGGAAATAAATAATAGGAAACAGTCCCCAACAAACATAATTACTCTGGTTTATGTAATGTTTGATAACGACTCAACAACAAATAGGCTTGGGGCTGAAAGCCACAAACACTTTTGAGAAGTTGCAAAGTACTGAGAGACAGACTAATATGCTGTTGGCTTTATTCTTGTTGACAATATGAAACACATCAACATATTACCAGCCTATTCCTTATAGGTTATACACAGCAGGCTCTTCACTCAGGTGTCCTTCAGCAAAACACTCAATAGCTACAGTCATGCCGTAACTCACTATGTCCTCTGAGTTTCCTGTTGGAAATAATCAATTAACTACCACATAATTATTAAAGTGGAGGAAGGCTCATTTGAATTCAACCATGTGGCTGATTAGAGCCCTGATGGTGTGCATCATATTTCCACATGCATACAGTTAGTGGTTTCATCAAGTCAAATAAGGTCTCCTATCACCAGTATTCGGACTATTGAAAGGTTGACGGGGAGCAAAGCAGAAAGGCCTTTGCTTGTCTAGGTTCAAAGGTTGTCACAAGGATTTTATTCACTTTTGCTCTCTGAGTTTTAATACAGTGAAAAAAACCTGCTGCGAACGATGGTTTAAGGTTTAACCACCAGAGAGTTTTATTCAATGAGCACACAAACTTTTTCTCATTCTGGCCCCAAAGGTCAGATGTCTATTAAAGGAGCCGATCTGTCTTTCTTAGGGGGCAGAGCTGTCAAAGAGCACACTTAATCTTCATGCAAAGTACCCTTAACCTCCAACACACAGACAAATCATAGCATAGTGAAACAGACGGATGAGTCCGCTGTGCAGAGGAAGAGCAAAGGACCTTTGTGATAATGGAAACATTCAGAGCTTCCCTGTGTCTTCCTCCCTCTCTGTTCTATCTCTCTGTCTGTTTCTCACACACGCAAACACGTCCGTAAGGGTGTATGTAATGCAAAGACAGATTTCTGCATATATCCATCCTGAGTAGGGGAAAGGAAAAAGGTGAGCTTCACATAAAAGTCAGGTGGGGGTCTCAGTATATCTCTCAATGCAGGAAAAGCAGTCAAATTCTACCCCTCTTTCTCAATGGATGTGAAAAATGAGGGCAGGAATTGTTGTGACGCCTGAGGAATTGCTTTTCCTAGACAATTTTTCTGCCATATTCATTTATCAGTAAAGTGAAGGCATTGGGAACACATCACCAGTGACTGCCTAGTTCAAAGCACACAAGTTCAGCTGTGAAGGAACCAATGCACTCAGCCTGAAGAAGATGACTGAAATAATCAATTAAAATAACATGGATGGATGAAGACAAAAATGTCAAACATTTCCTGTCAGGTATTTGTAAATCATCCCTAGATATATTAGTTTCTGGGAATCATAGGAAGAAAGCCATGTTCAGTTTGTAAGCCTGAGTGGAATCAACAAATCATGACAGAAACGTCTGTTTGGTGGCACAGCAAGAGAGAGGCTGGCTCAATAAGTTTGACAGCTTTTAGGCTAAACTTCATTAGTCCAAAATGCTCATGACTCAGCTTTGCAAACACAAAAACAGAGGGAATCTTAATTGCAGTGTTTTAACAGATTTTCTTTCTGGAAATTGTAATTGTAATGTTTTTCTGTCTTTTGAAAATGGTTTTTCAGTCACACCTTGCACTGTGGTTCTTAATCTGCATGCAGTCTAGGAAAGGGTCCGACTGTGATAACAAGACTGTGAGGATTGTTAAGCAAGTAAAAGATAATTATGAATGGCCATCGAATGAACATGAAACAGAGGTAGGATGCATCATTAAAGGTCCAGTGTGTAAGATTTAGTGGCAGATTGCAGATTTCTTCACCTTTCCCTTCCACCGCGAAGGAGAAACTATGATGGCCGCAAACTGTGTGATGCCCTATCTGGAGCTCGTTTGTTCATTCTGGGCTACTGTGGTTCAAAGTGGGGACTCGTGGCATTTCTAGAAATAAAAGGCTCATAAAGTGAAACATAACGATTTTTATTGTCAGATGGAGGGGTGGCTTTAGAGGGGTGGCAGCCCCCTAAAATGTTCCTGCCACCCTGGTATGGTGTCAAATGCTGTCAAAACTGAACACATTAGATTGAAAAACATCCATCTATTTGGAAAAATTTCTAAAGATTTGGAAATAAAACAATTTATTAATTTCTAATGCCACCTTGAGATTTAGCAATGCTTTACCAATGAGCCACAATAATTTAATGTACTTGAGTTCAAATATCTTAATTTCAGGGCTTTTTCCAAGCAAATATTGATTGATTGATTGATTTGTGATTGTGAATAAATCAGCATATATTTAGTACCACCCATTAAAGTCTCCATCCCACCCTCTTGCCCTCTTTCATTACTTTTGACGAAACAAGCCAAAAGGTAGATATCCTGTTTCTCAGTGGCTACCTTCTTTCTGGTTTGACTTTTTTTTTTCTTTCTGGTCCGTGGCAGCAACATTTGAAAGGTTATGGTCACAAATCAAAGCAGCAAAGCGATGGTAAAGCAAATGGGCAGAGAATCATTGGAAATAATATGGAGCATCAAAAAACAAGATGTTGCATCATGATTACTGGGCCTGAGACATCTTTTCCTTCATTTGATCCAGTAAGGCAGTAGTTCTCAACCTTTTTGGTGTCAAGACCCCCAAATTGATACGTATCAAGCTGTGTCCACCTGTATTGGATAAGGTATAGTCTCAGGGATCCGATGAGAATGATTTATTCCATAACTGTCTATATTGTAGAATGGAAGATTAACAGTCAAGAGCGTGAAACTTGAACATAATAGTCATTCTTATACATTCTCTCTACTGTACCGGACCCCAGGTTGATAACTACTGCTGTAAAAAACTAACTACAACTCTGATCGGGATAAGTTACTTAAAACTTAATATAGACTTATTTCTTTACTTGCATGCAAATCATTAAAAGTATATCATCTACTGCACACCTACATCAAAGATACTTGGTTGTTGGCAATGAAGAAAAACAGCTTGAAGTATAAAAAGGGTTTACAATAACAGCTTGAAGTGCAGAAGGGGTTTACAACAATAGCCATTTAGGTAATATATAATTAACTGTCCAGAATATACCTCTAACTGTACTTTCCCACAACAGCCTTTACACAATACAAATTCTCTATGGTCCTGAAACCTTGAACTGTACTACAATATAACCATGTATGCATGTTTCCAATTATTCAGATTCATTAGGCTAATCATCCGTAACAACAACATGAACACACAGGGGACATGGGGAGGCAATTAGCTCCGTTTATCTGATTTAAGCCACAAACCTGCTCTCTCTCTCTCTCTCTCTGAACTGCATTGAGATAAACAACATGGTTTTCTCAGCGTTCTAGTATGATGATAGTATGTTTTAATTTCCCAGAAGAATGCAGTTTACAAGGAAGTCCAGCATGTGAATTCAAGCAGGTATCTAATTTGTGTGTCAGCGTAATCCCCTTGTCACACAGTATTTTGTACATTTTTGAGAATGAGCTCTCCCTCCCTGAGAAATACTGCCACTAGATGGGGTAAAAGTACTCATACCAGAGTGAAAGAGAAAGAGGCAGAAAGAGAGGAAGAAAAGCAAAGCTGGTGCTCTTTACTTTTCCTCCCTCTTTGTGCAATAGGGGAGAGACTACTCTTCTTTCTGAAACAACCTCTACAAGTGGAAGCCACAGTTAAGAGCCCCGGGCCTGAGCTCTCTTCTGTCTCCAGAGGCCTATACTGGGAACCCACCGTCTTCCCTGTGGATCAAACTGTGTATGTGAGGATATTCCTTGTGCATCTCCCTGTATAAATGTTCTTTCCCCATTCTGTCTCGCTTTACACAC